AGTACCAACTGTGTCCCGTTATTTATAAGCAGACCTATTCTTGTATAATTTATATGAAGTGGAAGTTTTTAAAACATTTCATAAATGTGTATAAGAAAAAAAAATTGCTGTGACCTCCAGCTCGATATTTCAACATGTCGACGACGTTTAACACAGTTTCAATAACCCAATCTGAACGTCACTTCTATTCCATTCACTATCACATGCATATGGTGTCCACATTTCACAAATCACTCGACATTCATGAACATGCTTATGGTACGATCAATTTTTAGCTATACTGGTCAGACACCAGAAGAGCTTATGCTATATCAATCTGTCCGTCCACCTGTCCGTCAACATTTTTTTTCAAAATGCGACTCCTCTTACTGTTTTGGTCTGATTTCAATATGACTTGGCACACAAATAGACAACCAGGGGCCTGTTTTACAAACGTTTCCTAAGATATGTCGTAAGACATAACTTAAGATATGCCTAAGTTATAACTTAGGACGTTCCTAAGATCTGTCCCAGCTGTTTCACGAAACATTCTTATCTTAATTTTTTCCTAAGACATTTCTTAACTTGTGCCTTTAGAAACTAATAAAATAACTTTCTCTCCACTCCATACCATCTACAACTCTTTAGTATACTTTTAGAAGGACGTTAGTATGAGTAATATCTTCAGTTTGAGTCAAGGTAACAAATAAACTTCACTTTGAAAAGGAGAGGGGTTTGAGGTTAGGCTTACCCCTAACTTTCTAAGGAAATGGACAGAAGTTTTTAGATAATCAACGTTGTCAGAAAGCTGCTTTAATTTTCACAAGTTCCCTCCTGGAACTGAGCACACACATGCACACACCTTCAACCCCCTTCCCCCTTTTTTGTTCTTTATAAAGGTATCAGACGTACTGTGGTTTTATTTATACTTTAACTATACTTCTTCACTTTTAAATTAGTATATGGAATTATAGAACGACTGTTTTGTAGCGAATACATTCGTAGTATAATCATTACTTTTTAAAAAAAAAATTCTTTACGAATGACTGCTTCCACGCTAGCTGTCCGTGCTAATTGTGTAAAGCCCTCGTGCTTATGTATAAAATAAGAATGTCATTCCAGAAAAAAATCTGAAATTCGCCACTTCATATATGGCAATATTAATATATAGAAGTTGATGAGGGAAATCTATCAATTAAAATCTCCATGCATAACTAAGGTCAGAAAGGGACAGTGGAACCAATCACTCTGTTACACGACATATAATAATTATTCGTTCAGTCGAAAATTTGAAAAAGTGGAGTGTCATTTAACTTAAGCGGAAACAGGGGAAGACTAGTTGTATTCTCATGACTGCAGAAACAACGGTGGGGGTGGGGGGTTAACTGGGTTAATATCTTTCCTCCCCCCTCCACTGATTTGTTAAATGTAGATAAAACATATATGGACATGTATATATAATAATGGTTCATTTCATATGCATTTTTTGAACACAGACATCGCGTTTATAGCATGCTATTTTTGGGACTAATTTTACACATCTTTGTCAATTCTTAAAATCCTAGTAATTTTATGTAAAGTAAACCAGTTTTAACAACACAATCATCCATATACTGGTAGTCCCCTGGTAAGACGAGGTTAGTGAAACGGATAAGTAATGAACTTAGGAAAAAGTTCTTTCCTAAGATATAACTTAGTCCTAAGTAAGCTTTGTGAAACGGGCCCCTGTACACTAGATACATAATTTTGTATCGGGTTTTGATTTTGATGAACGATGTTGCCATGGTCACTAAAAAAAGAAATTTCTGTGAAATACTTTTAGAAGTGTATGTTTAATTTCAAAATTCTACTCCTCCTACAGTTTAAGTCTGATTTCAATATATTTTGGCACACACATAAGATACATTTTTCTGTACATTGTATATCGGTTTTTGATTTCGATGAACGTCGTTGTCTTGGTTACTTATCAGCTCGTCCATTTGAAATTACAAAACATGTGTTTCTCTTATAAAAGGCAGAGTAGCCGTTGCTTGATTATTTCTTCTCGTTGGATGATATGATATAAGAATGACCATTACATTTAACAGATAATACGGATGAGCGGTCTGACAAAAGAATTTCGCATCTTTCTAAATCCATGACGCTCTGCTATTGTTCCCATTCCCGTCTTTATGAAAATTTTGTCTCGAATGTTATAATTAATCATAATTCTACATTTGTTAATAATACGTTATGAAAATTTACATAATTTTTTTTACCTGAAACACCTTGTAATAATTATAGGCGCTTAGTTTCAGGATGGTGTATTTTGTGTACTGTGTTTTTCTAGGTGTGTCTGAATACCCTAATTAAAATGGAAATAAAAATTCGCTGAAATAAGTACGCTTTGAAAATGTCATATTTACTGTATATAAAAAGAGGAAAGGAGCACCTCTCGCTATCTTGAAAATCAGGGGGTACCTCGATTCACACTTGATTTAAAACAGTATCTACATTTTCCCTACCGGTGTCGGGTGAGATCTAGCTTCAAACCCTTTCCAATTTCACTGGCGGATAAAGAGGGGGCCTAGGACCTTCCTCTCCTTTATGTCCAAAATATACATAAGATTTAAAAAATCATTTTTCGTGTGGTTTCTACCCCAACCCCATACTGGTCGCCCCCTTGAAGATTCCTGGATCCGCAACTCAGTTTATTATCAAAATGTGCATACTCGCTGTGCAGTTTTATCCTTCAAGGAAATGAAATAAGAGCATCAGTCTGAAGTACAATACCCATAACGGATTTTTTTCCCCGTTATTTTCATATCATGACAAGGAGCACACGGCAGGTGTGGCCGGTTGGCAGCACAGGCACCTGAAGTATGGATCGATAATACCCCCCCCCCTTTTTTTTTAATGAAAAAAAAATGTAAGAGTGTATAATACCTCGAAAATATAAAATTTCCCCGTCAAACACATCTATATGTCGTTATATGCAAGCAGATTGTACTTTTTCTCACGTTTAAAGAATGGCCCTATTCGGTATAATAAAAATACACAAGGTAAGAAACAAAAGTTGTAAACAAACGGGAGTTCCCCACTTCGAGACAGATTTCCAAGGTAATAACAGTGTTACCTATCATAATTTTGCAAACACTCTGTTTGGGAGATGTTTTTCTACAAAACTATTTAACCTTAACCCCGCTATTGATTGTTAATATGCCGTAATCGGACGATTTATTAATCTGATACATAGATTTTCTCCATTGGCAGCGTTGGAGGAGGTTTTGGAGCTGCTTTTCTGTTTCGCCTTATCTGATTGGTTAGATATTTAAACTGTATTACAATTAACCAATCAGATAAAGCGAAACAGAAAAGCAGCTCCAAAACCTCTTCCAAAGCTGTCAATGGAGAAAATCTATGTATCCGATTAATAAATCGTTCGATTACGGCATATCAAACGCTAATAGCGGGGTTTAAGTTTAAGAGACTAGTAAATGAACATCTCCCAGACAGAGTGTTTGCAAAATTATAATAGGTAACACTGTTATTACCTTGGAAATCTGTCTCGAAGTGGGGAACCCCCGTTTGTTTACAACTTTTGTTTCTTACCTTGTGTATTTTTATTATACCGAATAGGGCCATTCTTTAAACGTGAGAGAAAGTACAATCTGCTTGCATATAACGACATATAGATGTGTTTGACGGGGAAATTTTATATTTTCGAGGTATTATACATTCTTACATTTTTTTCATTAAAAAAAGGGGGGGGGGTATTATCCATACTTCAGGTGCCTGTGGTTGGCAGGAGACACTCACTCCTCCATGGCACCTAATCCCACCTCCGATGTTTAGGAGACCCTTGTTTGGTCTGCTCCTATTTTTTTTTTTTGCTTAATGACTTTTGATCTTGAATATTGTTCGTTACTGTTTCATTAGTTGATTCAAATCCGCTACCTATAGGGATGAACTCATTATGTAAGCGTAGAAAATGCAGAGATATCAATACCCAAGTCAAAACTAAAAATACATGTTAGCAATACCATAGAATAAATAAAGAAGCAAATTTAAGTGGTACTATGGTTTCTAGAAGTTTTATGGATTCATTCAAGCACATTTCTCTAAACAGTTAACATTCTTTCACAAAAATTTCAAAACTTTTTCTCCTCAGCGCTTGAATATGATATGGACTAAATCAAAGAGTATTAATAATTACTGAACAGGATAACAGACTCGATTTTCATCTCTAAAAATGATAAGATCAATAAGATTTCTGCCTTTGTTGACTCAGTTATCGAACTCTAAATCATGGAACACAAATCAATTTCCAGAAGGCTTTCTGTAAAGCTAATATTCATGACATTGTGAATAATGACATCTGTTCTAACCATCGACAGTGTATACAGACTCGGGAGGAAACTTATCAAGGTTTTGTAAGAACATGACTCTATACACTAGCCTCGAGTAACAATTTGAAAATAAGGCTCTCTCTCTCTCTCTCTATATATATATATAAACCCTGCATTTCGCTCTGTACTTTTTTTCAAAAAATGTGTGGTAAGCTTGTCAACTGGATTAATATAAAAATAAATTAATAAAATTTTGAATGTACTTTAAAAAAAAAATTAAAATGTGATTCAATAAAGATTCTGACACTTTAAGGCATGAAATGTGGCTAATTGTATTCGGTGCGCTCGTCCTAGATGTTTCGGCAAGACCTACATGTACAACCCAGAGACCTAGCTACATGTGATATCGACAAAAGCCCGAATGTGCTAAAATTTCAAGCATCCCTGATGATAGTTGCTGTGAAAACTGCAACCAAAAATTTGTTACGGATAGACACACGGACGGACAGACTGACAGACACACAAGGGTTAAACAGTCTCCTTAGGATCGAGAGTATACAAAACAACAACAAAGGATGCAGAACTTGACCTGGAACGTCACGTGCAGGTCAATACAACGTAGTATTTTTCTAACATAGTTGGATCTCAGCCAATCAGAGAGTTTGAAGTTATTCAATCATATAATGATAACATTTATTTAAGTAATCCACAACTTTGGTTATTACATTTGTACACTTAGAATCCCTGGGCTTGGATAAAGTGCCAGAGACAGGTTCACTGAAAAAGTTTCGGATACCGTTGTCAGGATCTCTCCTATGAATAACATGTAATCTAGGCAAGCTCTAAGAGTTATCAATCAGTTTTTAAGAGGTGACAACTGAAATGGCTTTTGCTTTTACAAGTGGCTCAAGGGAAGATTTAATGGCATAATAGTCTAATGTAAAAACATCATCAGTGCCACACAAGGGTAGTAACTTCACTTCAAAAAGTTCTTTGAGAGCCCTAACATCACCTAAAGCATTGTGTGCCTCATACTGCTTTCCAAGGAAAGTTTTCACAAGAGTTTCTTGTTTAAAGTTTACAGTATCTGATTTGCTGAAAGCTTTCTTAGAAACTTTCAAAGTGTCAACAAACCCTGAGACACTGCTCTTAAAATTTTCATGTAACCTGAATTTGGTTAGTTGGTTCATAAGTATAGGAATGTCGTAGGACTGGATGTTATGGCCAATGAATACTGGTTTACTTTCAAAGGAATAAATGAAATCTATAAATTCTTGGAGTCCTGCTTCTGGATCAATGCTTTCAACAACCACCCCATTGTGCTTCATTATCCCTCCAACACAAGTTATCCTACTAGTGACCTTTGTGGCCTCTAGGCTAATCTCTGAATCTGGCCTGATGTAACGATTAAAGGTCTGGTTACCACAAACTGCAGCTATTTGTGTGATATCCGAGGTTCTTGCTGTACTTGAAGACTTCTTAACCATAAGTCAAATGAAGTTATTCTATGTAAATATATCTTTATCAATCACAAAATAACCAAAAATTTTATTGAATACTTACCAAACCCTGTAGTCTCCAGATCAAAAAACAAGTAGGGTGTAGGGGTTGCAAAAGGATCTGGATGGTCAATGGTTATATTTTCAAGATTAGGATTGTTGTTAAGCCCAACATTTCTGTTGTAAGTGTCAGCTGTGAAATAAAAATACATTAAATCACAGGGTAACTTAAAACTCTGAATGCTAACCCCTAGAAGTTGAACAGATGAGAAATTATTTTGTAAATAAAATACCTTCAAGTACAGACTGTGAAGCATCTTTCGCTGATCGTTGAATTTCTGGTCTTTGCGTATTTGAGAATCTCGTCTTTTTTATTCAATTTATATAAATGTGCTGGCTTGGGATATTTCACAAATTCAACTGAATAACAATTGTGAATTAATTAACCATGAATTTTGCTTTTAAACGGCATATGTATGATACTTAGCATTCTGTTCACAAATCGCTTTCTTTTGTATTTTTCTTATTTATAAAGGTAATTTGCCATTAAAGTTTAGAATGTATTTTAAAAGCTGCTGTCAGAAAATAAAATTGTTTACCTACCTACCGACCCAACTTGAGAATTTAGGATCGGGTTAGGGGAAACAAAGATATTTTTAATTACGGCCTTGCAAAAGAAGAATATTTATTTGAAGACACAGATATTGAGTGTGATAAATGAGATTCAGTTGGTTGTGAACTGGATTACAATGAGACATTTTCTCTGTGTGGTGACATTTTAGAAGATTCTGGAACTATAAATGAGCTAAGTTATTCTCAAAGTCCTTTTTAAAATTTTGATCCAGAGGTGAAAGACATCTTTAATCGATCACTTGCAAATGTTCGTAACATATCTGCAGAAAAGGAAGCCACTTTGGCCTTCAAAACATGATTGGAAATCCCATGGGCGAAATCGCTCACCTGAGTAACTTTGTTGATGCCGTTCTTTACCAGACATTCACCCTTGTAATAACCCCCCCCTCCCGGAGCGTCATAATTTTTACTATTTAGAAGCTAAACTACCCTAGGATGCTTAAGCTTCCACATAAGTTCAGCTTTTCTGGCCTATAGGTCTTGAGAAGTTTTCTTAACATTTTCCTATATATTTCTATGCAGAATTGTTATTCCATATTGTGACCCCGCCCTATCCCCGGGGTCATGATTTTAACAATTTACATTTTACACTACCCAAGGATGCTTCCACATTTAGATTTTACACTATCCAAGGATGCTTCCACATAAATCTCAGCTTTTCTGGCCCATTGGATCTGGAGAAGATTTTTAATGACCCCACCCTATGTGTGTCTTTTCTTGATTACCTCCCCTTTGAAGGGGACTTGGCTCTTCATTTTAACTCTTCATCAACCAAGGATTCTTTGTACCAAATTTGGTTAAAATTTCCTCAGTGGTTCTTGAGAAGTTCAAAATGTGAAAAGTTTACAGACAGACGAACAATGGGTAATCAGAGAAGCTCAATTGAGCTTTCAGTTCAGGTGAGCTAAAAAGATCGATTGTAGATTGTTTAACGCCCCTCTCGAGAATATTTCACTCATATGGAGACGCCATCACTTGCCGGTGGGGAGCTGTAAATTTTGTCCTATACTCGACACTCAGGGCCATGGAGCAGTGAGAAATATTTTGCGTGCCAGCACCTACTGAGACACTGGACCTCGGTTTCAACAAGGATCAACTCCTTACTTCCTGACTGTCTTGCAGACGCTCTAACCACTGCGCCACGCGGGCGACGTGAGCTAACAAATGCTGAGCAATTGGTATTCAGATCAGTGTGCAAAGACAGGTACCATTTCATTTTAGAAGGAGCTAATATTAAGCAGAGACACTTTTATTCACTGAATTTTATTCTTTATTCAATTCCTACTTCACATCCGTCAAGTACTTTGATTTTTAAAGCATTGAGCGGATGATTTAATGAAATGTGGAACTGTTCACTACAGACTCATCGAAGTCCGTTGGTCCTGTCCGCAAGGCAAGAAAAATATTGTCTTTACCGACAACTATTCTAGTAACCTTCAGACGAGAGTCCAGACAACCGATTGAAAAAATCGGGCTCAATGCGAGATCGGGATGCAGGCGAAGGTCAAAAGACCAACAACAAAATTCCGCGTGGCCAACAGGCGCTCTACTGGCAAGAAAAAAAAGATTGAACACTTACCAGGTAAAAAAAAAAGTTATGATGATACCCAAGGTCTTTGTGAGTTTCAATACCTGGAAAGCCGACCAGACTGGTTAACTTATAGCCAGGAAATGGAAATGTATTTATAGTCCATTAAGGTTGGTGTTAACAATCAGAGTAATAATCAACCCTCATTTATTATGGGCTGAAAAAATCGATCATCAGCGGTTTCAGACCATGAAAAATCAGCAATTCAGCAAAGGCCATAGTCTTCAAAAGCAGCAGAAAAAACAAGTGTAGCACACAAGAAACATAGTTAAAAGACTGTAGAGGCTGATGTGACAGTAGTTCAAGACTAGTTACTCAAGATTGATTTATTGTGTAACGTCCCTTTCGATAATTTTTCACTCTTATGGAGACGCCACCACTTACCGGTGGAGAGCTACAAATTTTGTAATATTATGCTCGGCACTCAGGGACATTGAGTAGTGAGGGCTCTTTTTCGTGATAGCGCCTTCTGCGACAGGGGACCTTGGTTTATATACGGTCTCATCCGAAGGACCTGTCTACACGTTACACAGTGGAATTCGAACCCGCGACGTAAGTATCTACTCCTTACTTGTCGATTCTAGAGCAGACGCGCTCTAGCCACTACGCCATGCGGGCGACTGACTGTAAAGATTGATTGATTAAATATTGTTTAACGCCAAGTCGGCAATCTTTCAGCCATGTTTTGGCGGACCATTAGTTTAAATCAGTTTTTGAAAGTTTTTGGTTTCTCTGGCGGCCACCATTGAGCCTACTCTTTTTCGAACTCCAGTGAAACGATCTTTTACGTGCCAAGGGGGTTGTTATCCTTGACACAGGGCACCATTTAACGTCCCTTCCGACGGACTTAAATATTTATTTAAAAATCTTTAAACTGTTAAAAATATTGCATAAACTGTTAATAAAATAAAGAACTATATGCGGTATATTGCATATGTTTGCCCCCACAAAAGTCAAATTTTGAAAACTTCCTGAAATGTGCTGAATTCAATAAATTGTACGAGAAATATAAGTTAACAGAAAATATTATAGTTCCAGAGCAGTGTATTCACAATTTCTGTTTTTATGACGTCACAAACTAGTCCGATTTTATATCCTTTTTCAGAAAGAGGACAAAATGGACAAAATTTCAACAATTTAAGCTTTAGAATTTATAGAGCGCATGTGTGTTCAGGAACAATATTGACATATTTCATTGATATTATCATTCTACACATTATATCAAAATATTTATCCTGAACACACATGCGCTCGGTGACTTTTATTTAAAATATCGACGAAATATGTACATTTTTCTGCAAAATTCATAAAAAACTGAAATTACGTCATATTTGTGACGTCATTACGTACATATGACGTCATTACTTATGAAATTATTCAGTGCTTTGAAGTCAGCATATACTCCCCTGTTTAAGGACTTAATTAAATATTACTCCATCAAAGTTTGATTTTGGGGGGCAAATGTTGGTTAATACCGCATATAGTTCTTTGATATGTACATCTCATTAAAATTGTTTTTACAACTGAATTCAAATCTTATTATAATAATCCGATTCCTTCAGATATTCTAGTAAAAAGTTCGTACATGGTTTTTACATTTCCAAAAAGTCTACTTCGAATAGGTGTAAAATCGGAACAGTCTAAAAGTATGTGGTTTATAGTTATCGGGCAGTCACAAGATATACATTCCGGCCGAGACTCCCGGTTCAGTAAGTATTCATGCGTAATTTTAGAGTGACCAATACGTATTCTTGAAATAATTACTTCGTCTTGACGTTTAAGACCGAAGTCACATGATTTGTTAACTTTGTTTTCAATGGCATAAAGCTTACTTTCATCACAAAAATTCCAATACATTTGCCAAATAGAATCAACATAAATTTTAACAAGATGTTTCAAATCGGTGTACGGAATTTTGAATAAAGTAATTTCATGTTGAAGTGCAGTTTTTGCTGCACTGTCAGCCTCTGTGTTTCCAGGGATGCCGATATGGCTCGGTATCTAACAAAAATTAACTGCTTTACCCTGTTGAGTGAGGTAATAATACTGAATTAATATATCTAAAATAAAAGGATGATCAAGATTCTTATTTTTAATGGATTGTAAGCAAGAAAGGGAGTCTGAAAATATAGTAAATATGTTGTCATTAGAAGATTTTATATATTCAAATGCAAGTTGTATGGCTTTTGCTTCCGCAGTAAAAATTGTTGCTTCATTTGGAAGACGTGTTGAGAATATACTATTATCAATTTAATACTGCAGCTGACGCAACTGTATCTTTATCTTTTGAACCATCTGTATAGATTTCGACTGTAGAACCAATAGAATGTTTTATTTCGGCCAATCTTTGTTTAAAAACTAGGGAATTCGTTTCTGATTTCTTAACTTCAGTTAAAGATGTATCAACAATTGGATTTATTAATTTCTAGGGCGGTATTTCAGAGAAATTTGTAGGCTTAATAATATCCAAAGGGAGCTCAGACTGTAAAGAAGAGCCGTGTCTGCAATCTCTTGAACTGAATTTAACGATATTCCTAGTGAGTTATCGACAAAATTTTATCGTATTCTGTTTGGTAATGTACAATAGACAATGTACATTTAAAAATAAATGTTTTTTCTCAAATAATTACTAGTATTATTTTATGCATTAACCTCACTATAAAATGAACTTAGATTAAGGTCATCATTTGGCGGTCAGTAAATTATAATTATATTTTTAATATTATATCTCTATTGATAAAACTCGAGTTTGATTCGCTTATAAGAAGGCTTTAAAACTCAATAATGACTCCAAACGTACTGTTTACAGCAATAATGACCAAGGAATCATTGTACGTGGGATGTAATGACCGGTCATTATTAATGGGTACTTCATTATGTACCGCCGCAGCTGTCTTAAGGGTACAAAATACATGTATGTATTATAGTGTCAATTCTACACACCATTAAGTCTATTCTTTATATGTATAATTAAGCCCACTTATATAACATGTAGTGTATTCTTTATTAATAATTAAGTCCATTTTTTATGTAGTCTATCCTTTATATCATGAAGTCAACTTTATATATTATTGCCTGACGTCACGGCGTCAGGCTGTATAAGGATTGA